ATGCCATGCCATGCCATGCCATGCCAAGCTATGACATGAGATGAGATGACATAACATAACGCGGCCTGATGTGGCATGACGTGACATGTCATGACATGAGAAAGAAATGGAATGAATGAACGCGTGAAAGAGCAAAAGGACAGGAAAGGACATGACAAGAAATGGAATGACGAAATGAAATGGATGAAATGAAACGAAATTCAACGAAATGAACGGCTGAAAACATGAATTGAATGAATGAGTGACTGAATGAAAGGAAAATGCATGTATGAATGCATGAATGAATAATGAATGAAGAGAATGAAGGAATGGAATGGAATGGAAAGAATGAAAGAATGAATGAACGGAAGGAAATGAAATGAAATGAAATGAAATGAAATGAAATGAAATGAAATGAAATGAAATGAAAGGAAAGGAAAGGAAAGGAAAGGAAAGGAAAGGAAAGGAAAGGAAAGGAAAGGAAAGGAAATGAAAGGAAATGAAAGGAAATGAATGAAGCGATGAAGGAACGAATGAATGAATGAAATGAACTGAATGAAAGATTGAATGAATCAAAAAAATCAACGGAATCAAAGAATGTATGTATGTACGAATGGCTGAATGGAGTGACTGACTGAGTGAATGCATGAATGAATGAATGAATGAAATCATGAAATCACAAACTGATGCAATGACTGGTATGAATGAATGGAATGAATGAATGAAATGAATGAATGAATGGGATGGGATGGAATGGAATGGAATGGAATGGAATGGAATGGAATGAAATGAAAGAGCGAATGAATCAATGCATGCATGCACATGGGTAGATGGATGGATGAATGACTCAAAGAACCAATGAATCAATGAATTAATCAATGACAGATTCGTTTTATTCAGAACGGAAGGACGGACGGAATGGATGGATGGGAATGAATGAACAAAGAATGACATGAGTGAATAAATGCATGAAAGAATGCCTGAAATGAAATGAAACGAATGAATGAATCCATGAAGACATGCAGGAATGAATGAAATGACTGAATGAATGAATGACAAAATGAATACATGAATGACTGAATAGATGTCTGAATGCATCGAAGAATAAACTCATGACACCAAGGAATGAAATCAGATCATTTGAGATGACATGACATGAAGGAATCATTCATTGAATGAATGAACTGAATGAATGCATGAACGAATGCATGACTTAAAGCATGAACCAACATAACTACAAGAAATAGATGGATGAATGCATGGATGAATGGATGGCAGCATGGAAGAAATGAACGAATGAAATGAACATGAACTGAACATGAAATTACATGAAATGAACTGAATTGAAATGGATGGATACATGAGTTAATGAGTGCATGAACCAATTTTCCTAGCATCATGCTTGCTGAACCAATGGCAAGTTCAATGAACTTGGATGAACTGAGATGAAAGTAATGAACGAATGAATGTATGAGTGAATAAACTAATGAATGACTGGGAAGAAAATGAAAGGAAGGAAATGCATGACAATGAATGAACGAAACAAATGAATGAATGAATGAATGACTTGTAATGGAAAGGAATGGAACGGAATGAAACGGAATGGAATGGAACGGGCTGGAATGGAATGAATGAATGAATGAATGAATGAATGAATGGAATGAATGAAATGATTGAATGGAATGGATGGACGGATGGATGGATCGATGAATGAATGAATGAATGAATGAATGGAAAAAATGAAATGAACGAAATGAATGATGAATGAAATGGATGGAATGCTGGAATGCAGGAAATGCAGGAAATGAATGACATGAATAAATGAATGAATGCATGAATTAATGAATGAATGAATGAATGAAAACGTGAATGGAATGAAATGAATTGAATGGAAATGAATGAATGAAAGAATGAATGAATAGATGCATGGATGGATGGATGGATGAATGCATGGATGGATGGATGGACGGATGGATGAATGAATGAATGGATTGAATGAGTTGAACGACTTGAATGACTTGAAAGAACTGAATGAATGAATTAATGGATGAATAAATGAACGAACGACTCAACGAGCGAATGAAACAACGAATGAAAGAACAAAGGAATGAAGGAATGAACGGATGATTGAAATGAAATGGAAGGATGAAATGGAGTGAACGAATGAAATGAAATGAATGAAATGAAATGAATGAAATGAATGCAATGAATGAATGGATGGGATGGAACGGAATGGAATGAAATGCAAAGAAAGGAATGATTCGAATTTGATTTGAGATGAAATGAAATGAAATGAAATGAAATGAAATGAAATGAAATGAAATGAAATGAAATGAAATGAAAATGGAAAGAAAATGAAATGAAATGAAATGAAATGAATGACATGATTGTCTGAAATAAGGAATGAAACAATGAATGAAACAATGAATGACATAATTAATGAATGAAAGAATGAATGAAACAAGTAATGAATGAAAGAACTAATGACTGACTGAATGAACGAATGAATGAAACTGTTGAACGAATGAATGAATAAGTGAGGGATGAAATGAATGAATGAAATGAGTGAATGAATGAGCGAAATGACATGAGATGAAATGAGTGAATGAGTGACTGAGTGAGTGCGTGATTGAATGGATGAATGAGTGAACGAATGAATTAATGGAGTGAAATGAAATGAATGAAACCAACGATTGAATGACGTGGAAGCAGTGTATGCAAGGATGAATGAAACCAATGAAATGAGTGGATGGGTGGATGGAGTAATGAACGAGCTGAAGTGAAAAGGGAATGCGGCGAAATGAGCTGGATGATGTGACATGAAAGGGATGAAGGAGTGAGTGCTTGACTGACTGATTGGCTGCCTGACTGAATACATGAAGAAAAGGAATGGGATGGGATAGAATGAAAATGAAAGACTAAAAGCTGGACAAAGGTGAACGAATGAATGAATGAATGCATGAATGAACAAACCAATGGATGAAACGAACTCAACTGAATTGACATGAATTGCAATGCGTTGAAATGAAGCGAATGAATTTGAATGAGGGGAAGTGAGAGGAACTGGATTGAACGAATGAAATGAATGAACGAATGAAATGAAAGAATGAACGCATGAAATAGTGAAGGAATGAACTGGAATGGATGAACGGAATGAACCAATGAAATACTAGATACGTGAATGAATGAACCAATCAATGACGGAATAATGAATGCATGAATGAAGTTTAACTGGATTTGAAAGAATTGAAATGGAATGAACTGAGTGGACTGAATGAAATGAACGAATCTGAAAGAACCATTGCACACATGCATGACTGAATGAAATGAACCGAAATGAAATCAATGAAATGGAGCGAAATGAAGTTCAAGGAATGTTAGGTGAATGATTGAATGGATGCATGAACGAATGAACGGATTATTGTTTGGCTGATTGGCTGATTGAATGAGTGGTTGTATGGTTGAACGGTCTGAAAAAACTTAGTAATACAGGGCTGCACGGAGGCATGTATGCAGGTATGTATGTAGGTAGGTTGTGTCGTTTGTTTTGTTGTTTGTTGTGTTTGTGTGTTTGCTTCTTTGTTTGTTTGGTTGGTTGTGTGATTGGTTATGTGTTTGCTTAGTTGTTTGCTTGTTTGTTTGTTTTTTTAATTACTTGTATGCCTGTTCGTACGCCTCGTAGGTTCTTATCTTTATGTTGATGTATGTGTATCTATAAAGTATAAAGTTCTACCTGTACGTGTGTATGTTGGTTTGCCCGTTTGCTTGTATATGTGTATGTGTGTTTGCAGGCATGTAGACATACTAGTCTCTCAAACCTCAGTCCCTGTCTAGCGATATTGTCGTGAGGTGTATTGGTCCAGTCCAACCCAGACCAGGAGGTGGACCGGGGAAAGTTCAGGTCTGTGCAGTTTTTCGTGGATTAAATGCGGAGCTGTCTCTCGCAGTGAACTCTTCAACATTGCGACTGCAGGCTTACGTTCAGAAGCTTCCTGTTGCTGCTAAACCCTAATGTTGACAAGCTTCCAAATTGGTCCCCTATACTTAATGCCAATTTCCGAACCCGACCAACCCCAGACATCTCCATCCCCAAGTTTGTGGCAACCCTTCCGAAACGAACACCCGAAAGCCACATGACGTTCCGTAGGCCAAACCCAGGTGAGTTTCAGCCCTGTTTGTCCAGGTCTTGGCCCGAGTTTACGCTGAGCTTGGTACGCCTCCTGCCATGTCGATGGAGCTGGCTTCCAGGTGCGTGGCCCCAGAGGATGGACACGACTCTTACTCAGACACACACAGATGCTGACACACGCCGACACACATGCACGCACACTCCGCTAATAGGATGTGAGATGTTGTGAGTTATCGGGTAGCGTGGCTCTCGGCACTGTGTCACCTTGCAAGCTGCAGCTGGAGCGCTTACTTTGCATCGTGGGGTGCTTCCTTTCCCAGCGGTCCTACGGAGTGTGGCGGAAGTGCACGTAGTTCCCGAAGTACCTTTGATTTTGCCATCTCTTGCATCACAGCTCTTAGACTGGCACGTATTTAGGCAAGCGTTCCACAAGCCCGCAGGCACTGCAAGATGAAGGGTGTCTGCAATTCAGAGGCGCCGGATGCTTGGAGGGCTTTTTTCAACAGGACGGCAACAGAGACGCGAAATCTGAAATGGCCCTTATGGAAGTCCGCAAGGAGGTCTTAAGGCTCTTAAGGGCTCCAAGGATCGAAGCAAGGGATTCGATGCGGCGCGGCTCCAACCCCGAATGGTCGATCATTGACACACCCTGCTTCTTGAGTTTCCGGCGCAGATCCACCACAAAGTAGCTTGCCACGATTGTGGTTTCAAGTTCTTTGTTTTGGCATGTTCCAATACCGTGAAGCCATAACTCCAAGCTCCAAACAGCTCCGACCCCAACCTCGCTTCCAATCCCCGCTGGCTTTGCTTAGGTTTGTTGCGACACTAAGATACGATAACGAGCATCATTATCGTTTGCTTTAGTCGGAAAGCCTGAAGCTTCTTGAGCATTGAAGCTTCAGAAGCCCCAAGACCAAGACTCCGGCCTGACAGCATGCATGTTTTTGCAGGCGCAAAGCAGACAGAACGATCTGGAGGTTGTGGGGTTGCTCTGAGCTCAAGCGCAACCGCTCAACTCTGAGCAAATCTCGCCATTTGCCGAAAAATCGTATCCTGAGGTTCAGAATCACCCGCATTTGCAGGGGCGAGTTCTACGCTTTCGCTTTCCGCGGCTCGCTGCTCAATTCCACGCCTTCTAGGGAATCTCACGGCACGCCGGGAGGGATAAGGTGGCGAAACGGTCAAAAGGATTGCTGAGTCGCTGATTGAGCGAGCAGGTTTCGCTAGTAGGAGTAGAAGCAGGAGTAGGATTAGACTCGTCGTCCCTGCTGCATGTTCGTAGACATGCTTGTGATGTTTGCAGCATATGTTAGTTTACTCACGAACGTGTTTTTTGAGGAGCTGCAGGTCTTGGACGCATCCAAGAGAGGCTTCTTCGGTTCCATCCCAGCGGAACTGGGCCACGCTCAGGAAGTTGCTTCCAAACTCCACGGAATCTGTACTACTTACGGACCTGCGAAGCTCAGGAGGCACCCATGCAACCCACCCCACTTGCCCAACCCAATCTATTCGTCGAGTCTAAACATGTGGTCCGTAAGGAGTTTAGCCGGTTTAGCTCTTGGATCATTAGCACGTGGCTTCACATCCTGTGGGCCTCGGAGGCAACAGACCTTTCAGACCTGGCGTCCAATCATGAGAGTTCAAGAAGCAGGGTTTCGGGTTGAGGCCAGCGTTCTGCAAACCTTGGTCCTGTGTGCTGTGAGTTAATAGACAGCCATAGGACTTGATGTTTGATTCCCATCATTTTTGACTCCTCAGGCCTAGGCTCATCCTGAAAGCCCCAGGACCCAGAACCTGAAGTTTTTGAGACGCTAAGTGGCGAGTTATCGAGCTGGTTCCAAGGCCCATGTCATGAGTCATGTACGAGGTTCCGCCCAGAACATGTATGCATTGTCTTCCACTCCCCTCTCAGTACCAGGGAAATACCAAACCTAACCAGCGATCCAGCCGACAATGTATATGATCCCGTCTCTGAGTGATAACTCCGTGTTGGAGAGTCCGAGGGTGAGTGCCGAAACCGGCAACCGTGTACCCTTCGTCGTCATCACATCAACTTACCTGATGTCAGGCTGGCGGACTTCAGAAAACCCCAAACGAGCACACAGGCGGCCTTTCCATGCCGTTGAGGTACCTGCGTGTGCTGCTTACGAGCCGCGAGCCACATAACCTCAGCCTCCCAAACGAAGTTCCAGGCATTGCGGTTCTGACACTATGGAAAACTAGTTCTACTCCTCGGAACATCTGCCATCATTTTTTGCAGCGGCTGGCCGGGACAACAAACTGGCTGACGAGATCTCGATTTGCCGACTCAGGACATGTGCATCTCTGGTCACTTGAGTCCGGTGCCCCGTGTTTGCAGCGTCATTTTGGCTCGTAGAGGCCGGACTCACCCCATCCTTGGCCAGAAGCAATGAGTTGGCTGTGTTCAAGCTACTCGCACAATCCGAGTCCACGTATCCCCTCCGAATTGCATTGACATATTATGCATTCGTGCCTGACCTTTTATAGGGCATCAAAAAATTTCAATTCCGGCCTCAGCCCAGCATCTTGAACGTAAAAGTCACATAGTAAACGCCGCGTCATCTTTTGACCAGCCGATGCCACGAGGCCATGGGGATGGTGGGAGATGCACATGATGAGTTTTTCCACGGAGTCTGCCAGGGCGAGTCGACTCCAAGGTTGTGGAGCCGTGGAGACTTGATTCCAGGACTTTCCAGCTTAACCACGAAAGGAACCACCTTTTTGAAGCTGCACATGTAGCATCTGATCTTTGCGCAGGTCGGCGATGTTTACCGACAAGATTGCGGCAGCCGTTGACCAGGCATGGATGGAACATGGCCGCTCCATGATGCAAAAAGTCGCGTTCGGCTCAGCCGAAATCCTCTTTAAACAGAAGAACCCAGCCCAAAGACATCAAAGACCAAGCTCTCAAGCTCTAAGAGGCTGCAGGTGAAGCCCCAGACTTTGCGAGGCTCGCAACGATGCCGCCAGCGCCATCGAGCGACACGTGGAGCGAGCCAAGGCCCTGGCAAGCAGAGCTCCGTTTTTTTGTTGTGCCTCTGACTCCTTGCTCCTTGCTTCCGAAACGAAAGGCCAATTCGGCACGGAGGTTTTGCTTCGAGAGTCTTTCAGGCTGCAGGCGCTTCAGGCACCGCAGTGGGATGCATAGACAGAGGGGTCATTGGTCTCTGTGCACAAAACATCACAACAAAGACTCCCCTAATCTACACTGGTAGTGTATATTATATATATATATATACACGTATGTGACAGATTTGGCGAACTGCCTGCGATGCCAGGTCGCAGCCACGGGCGTCGTGGAACAAGCGAGAGGCCCGATAGATCCCGACCCCGATAGCAAGTCGACTGGTCGGCTTTGGTGCTTCACAGCTTCCTCGATTGCTTCTGCGTAGATTCTCCGTCAAACCATGCACTCGTCAGGTGACCTGAAAAAGCTTTCGAGGCCCTAGGCCTCGAAGTGTAAACAGGCCCTGCTTGTTACAGACCTTTGTTCGTTTCTTGAACCCGCAAAGATAGTAGCAGTGTAGCACTGGCTGGGAACCACTGGAAAGGTCAAGGCTGGCTCTCGTAGCTGTGGGTCGTAGCTGCTTTTCAAAATCGTGGTAGGGACGGCCAACTTACGGGTTCTCACGTAAGGCAAGCGATGAACCGATTCCAGCAGCCCTCACCTGCGCAAATTTCAGACTGGAGGTTTTCAGGACGTTTGTCACCTTCCCTCGTAGCCCAAGTCCTCATGTGTTCCGTCTGTGCAAAGGCTCTATGGCGCTTTCAACAGCACCGGTGCCTTGCTCCGCCTTCCTCGCCTGTCTTTTGTTCGCTGCCGCTTCTGGCAGGGAACCGATTTGTGCACATTGGCGTGTGTACTGCAGTTTGTGGTAACTAATCTGCATTCTATACGCTGAGTCCTTGCAGGGTGATGGATGTTGCTGGACTGGTTTTCCTTCTTAGATGAGTGAGGGTTACAGTACAGTTTTTTCAGAAGAGGTGACTCGTATGCCCCCACATCGAATCAGTCACGCTTGCTGGATTTGCGGGTCATGAGCACGGCGGGTCGGCTATAGCATTTGCTACCAAGCGAGTGCAGCTCAGAGTCAGGCGGGAGAAGAGCACGAAGCAAACTAAGAGGCGCGAAAGAACAGGAACAACCGTATGCAGTGCCTGCGACGAAGACCGCCCGTCAAACCTAAGTGCAAAGGGGCAGCTAAGAGTTCGGCAGGGTGTGCAAAATGCCTCTGAGAAAATAACTTCCTACCAGGCCCTACCCTATCTGCCGGATGCAAAGGGCACGTGTTTCCTCTGTACTCTGTATAGGATATATGCCGTGCAGGTGCTTCTCATGTTGTTACTTCGGTGCACGCCACGATGTTTTTTCACTTGGGCGTGGTCATGTCAGTCACAGATCTGATCTTCATGTGCAAGCTTCCACGGACATGCCCGTCTAGCAGCTTCCTTTCTGTTCTCCGGCGCATGCTCCGAAAGGGTTGAGTCATCCCTTTCCCCTGTCGGCTCTACTGCGTCGGTAATTGGCCCATTTCAAACAGCCTTCACGTAACCACTCTAAATTTCACTCTAATCCTCACTTCCATCGAAGAGCAACCATCTGCAAACTGCTACTGTTAATGTGCCCGCCACTTGAACTACAGTAATTATACCTACAATGCCGCAAACATTAAAAGGAAAGCAGCAGCAGCAGCAGCAGCAGCAGCAGCAGCAGCAGCAGCAGCATCAGCAGCAGCAGCTTAGCGGCTTCGCCAGGTCTGCGGTCGAAGTACGCGCGGCGGGGATGGTGGCGCCTGCAATGATGTTGGACTGAAGCTGACTGAAGGGCTTTGTGATCTTGGGGTTTTGGCATTCAGGGTTTTAAGGTTAACTCGGCTAGCGCCAGAAACCTGGATGCAAAGGGGTATTGACGGTCTTGATTTTCGGATTAGGGCTCACGGTTTTGTTCAAAAAGGTTTTGGAGTCTATGCTGCTTGAGAGTCCCACTTGCAGAGTTCAACGATATTGGATTTGGGTCTGCGCTGCTACACCTGCAACGTCAAACATTGCAGGAGAGATGACCAGCAAAATCGAAGCTTCCGATGCAGCTCCGAAATGCTACAGCTGCCTTTCGGCAACTGGGCCCGTTTATGTTTGTGACCGTCCGTCTGTGAGTGTGTGTGTGTGTGTGTGCGTGTGTGCGTGCCTGTGTGTGTGTGTGTCTCTGTGTGTGTTGTGTTCCTTGGGGATTGAGGGGGTAGTGGAGCAGTGGAGCTATGTTCGATGTTTGAGAGTCCGTTTTTCCGGGGTGTTTGCTGAGGGAAGTGTAGCAGGATAGCAATTTTGACATTCTGGGAGGATTACATAGAGATTCTTCGGGCTTGTGCGATTTATGTTGGGGTTTCAAAGTTTGTAAGAGTGTAGCCTGCCAAGTGCCGGCTGCCGGGAGTTTTCAAAAGAAGCGGTCAGGATTGATGGCACAAACTTGTTGTGCTGTTTTGAATTTCTTTGCTCTCATATTTTAGACAGACTTCGTAGGACAGGCTTCTGACTTGGGGGAGGTTTATTGCTGGGACTTCCAGATATTCAGATCCGGCGACATATCCGTCAAAATGACAAGTCCTCCTACCTACCCCACCTCCCACCCCCCAACAAAACAAAATAAGCTTGAAAAAGTCGAAACCTAGAACCGACAGTGCAATTACGTTACACTTGCTTACCTGGATCTGATCTAGACGCCCCGGCCTCAGGGTTTTGGCTTTTTCGGCAGGCCTCAGACCCTGCAGTGCTGTGCTCCTGCGGTTGCTGCAGCCTGCTGTTCCCGGAAACCTGCAGTCCTACATTCCTGCGGCCCCTGCTGGCTGCAGTTCTGGCAGTGCTAAAAGAACCCTAAAGTGCACGAGGGAAAGGAAAGGATGCGGGGATACTCCCTAGACAAGCTCTGCGGAGAGACAGAGAGAGAGAGAGAGAGTGCTTCGACACAGATTAACATGAGTTGATATACGTCCCAACCTTCTACCCTGTAACGATCCCTAGGCTCCTCCTAACACCCACTCCTTGTACTGCAGTCTTGGTCCTAACTGAACTGATCTTCGGGTACTGGGTCAAATGCTTTCCGAAAATACTGTTTAATATTATTAGGATGAGTTGAAACAAACGGGGGAAGCGCTTAGTTGCAAAGCCAAAGCCGCCACAGCATCGACAGACAGACGGACCACAGAAAGGCGGGTATCCCGAGCGAGCTTGAACCGTAAAGACTAACATCCTGACATCGCACCCTAAGGCAGAGGAGCGAGACAAGGCGCCTGCTGGAGAGTTACATGGAGCTGTTTTGTTCAGGTCAGACGCTACTTTGGGTCAAAGGGTTGAGAGGTGGTCAGAGCCCCCAGACCTTCGCAGTTGGAGCTTCGGCCCCAGAATTCAGGCACCATACGTGGGTTGTAGCGAGGCGAAGCAACATGTAGGTCAACGTAGGCGGTGTTGGACTGAGAGGTTGATGCCTATGCGCGGAATTTGCGCACCCAGAGTCATGCAGCCTTACTTGGTCAAAGTAGCTTAGTCAAGGTGGAGTTTGTATAGGTTTTGCGGCAGTTTCTTCGTGCCCCACCCAGCCATCATCGCCAATAGAGCGATGGAGCCCTGGGTCATTGTGGCCATCACAGCTGGCATTGATGTGGTAGTGTGCGCCCTTTTCTCGGTCATACTTCGACCATGCGTGGACAAAGATGGCAACAATCGGATCGGCTTGAACGAACTTCCCCAGTGGGCAGTATCCCTTGGTCCGGTGATGGACGGCGGAGGCTTTTACAATCTCGGCACACTGACTTTGCTGCAGACATTGCTTGAAGCATTCGCATTTAGTGCGACCTATGGCCTATAATCACGGTGCTGACATGTAACGTACTGTTCATCCGTCTTGATGAGACACTGGGCAGCATTTTGACGGTTTACATGGTCTTCCAGGCAATGCAGTTCCAGTGCACCTACAGCACCAACGGCGTTCACGTGGCCACAAGTCACATTATCCGTTTTGTGTACTATGCCTGTGGTTTTTTGCCCCTATACTTTTACTGTCGAAGCATGGCTGCGTGGTTGGTAACAGCCC